GTGATACCAAAATCTATCTCAGTCAGGTCCCTTACATTCACTTATACATTTTCTTAAATTAATGACTGAAAAATGAATCGCTTGAAATATCATAAAAGCAAAGAAACCAGAAAAAAATGGCGCAATAAAGTGAATCATGTAGTTAATGTAAACTGATGTCGTCTCTGTTAACCGTGATGAAATTAGTCATACCGAGTCTAGGGTATACAGAGGGGCCCAGGTTCTCGACTAGACACCAATTCTGATCGCTAGTTTGTTTTAGAGAGTATCATCTGACCGCAGTTTTTGGTTTATTGCCTGTCGCTTTTAGAATACGAGGCCCCCGATAAAGAATAACATGGAGGAGGAGGAAAGAGCAAGGAGACTGGAAGCGAGGTATTTTTTTTTCGCGCGTAATAATTCACTTCACCGCGACAGTGATGTGGTTTACGCATTGTCACTTTGTACTTCGAACCTTTAAACTCAAAACGAATCTATCACTTGGGAACTATCGTATTGCACTGCTAAAATCAGAAAACGGCAAACCGAGACGAAAACAGATAAATAAAAGAATAATAGAACAAGAAGAGAAAGAAAGAAAAAAGTAAGGTTTAAAATTCTTCATTCAGGGCGTGGGCGATCATGGCTCTCCACGAATTCCTGTCCTTTGTAAGCTATTTGTAAATGTTGCCTTTTTACTACTTCTCCTAATTCTAAGTCTGCCAAATTATGCGTTATGTTACGCGCTGCTTTCTTCTGTTTTTCTTATATACGCCTGTCCTGTGAGTGTCAGATTCTCTTAACCTTCTTTCCTCCTTATAGAATGACTTGGCAGAAGGATTTTTCCAGAAGTTTGCCTTTTCTTTCTGCGGTAAGCTGGTTACCAACCAAGCCTATAGTACCCATGGATCAGTCCATCAGTTGCGCCATATGTGATACACGCTTGGGAGATCATATCTTTCTCGATTCATCACTGACTTGGGCAGAAGATTCTCCCACAGAAGGTTGCCGTTTCTTTCTGGGGTAGACTCGTTGTAAACAAAGGCTATAGTACCCATGGACCAGACAGTTCATATATGTATCATACGTGATACACGTTTGGGAGATCATATCTTTCTCGATTCATGACTGACTTGGGCAGAAGATTCTCCCGCAGAACGTTACCGTTTCTTTTTTAAATAGACTGGTTGACTAGAGGAATTTTTAATGTCCTCGTGTGCCACATTTTTGAGATTTCGATTTCAAGGTATTATTATTATTATTATAAATAATATGATATAATAATTATACTAGAATAAAATATTGTATTATATATAAAATAATAATAATAACAATAATAATCATTATTATTATTATTAATGCCACTATAGACCTGTCGATATTCATTTGGATTGATTCATAATAATTATTAATACAGTAATGATGTTAATAATTAATTATTATTTTTATTATTAATGATAAATTATATAATATATAATAAGAAAAATATAATAAAATAATAGTGAGATATTAAATAATGCTTTAAAATTAGGTTATATCATCCTGACAAAGTTTTAAAAGTCACTTATTTTCTTTCATTTTTCGTCAAGAGAAACGCCAGTTTGGGCAAAATATAATAAGATTAAATTATTTGAATATACACAAAAACACACACAAGCAACTCATTTTTTCGCTTTTGATCTGATGAAGCCTAAATGGCGAAATGCATAATCGGCTATATTTTCGAACGTTTTCCAATTGTCAATAGTTTAAAATAATAAATAATATAATAGTACTGTTTTTGGGTATTACTATTGTTTAAAAATAAGTTTTTCGTAAAAATCTGCTACAAATGAGACCATTTTAACTTTTAAAACTGCTACTCATATTTGAACTACTACTAATAATAATAATAAAACAAAATGCAAAAAAGAAGAAATTTGACATTACTCGTCCAATATTTTCAACAGTTAAGAGAAGAGCGCGATTCAAGAAAAGATCTGTGTTATAAAAAAAAAAACAATATGTGTCTCTTATCCATTATATTTATTAAAAAAAAAAACTTCAAATATAAAATATATAATTGTTTGTCATTAAAAAGGTTGTTAAATGTAAATTAAAAAAAACGGTTTATTTTGAAATCGGCGTCAAAAGGAATGAAACGTAATGTACATAATAATCAATCAAACACTTAAAAACGAATGAAGGCGATGAAGGCATAAGATGAAACGTGCTAATGGGACATGATGGCGATATTGTTAATCTTGGAATTTTCCGTTAATTATTATTTATCTAAACAGAAATTGTGGAATCATTAAACTAGTAAAAAATCCAATTTCAATTTACTTTTCATGACAATTTTTTTAATAAAGCTAATAATATAAAAAATATTTTTTACAAATTTTAATTTAATAAAAAAACATTTTTAATAATAAAATTAATAAGCAGGAATGTCATTCATCTAAAACAATTGTTTAAAATAATTTTTTTAATAAAATTTTTGAAGTTAATAATTTGTAAAATTTATTTTTATTTAACCATCCTCATGTATTTTAAGGATCAACAGGTCGGGAGAATGCGTTATATATATAAAATAATTTTAATGAAGTTTGTCGAAATCACAGTCGTTAATTTATAAGACAGACATTCTGTTGAAATATTGTTTAACATTGTCAAAGACTGTAAGAAAGAATTAAGAAAAGCAAAAAAAGAAAAAAAAAAAACATTTTTTTGACAAATTCTAAATAAAACGTCTCAACTTGTTGATCCTTAAAACGCATGAGGATGGTTACGTCAGCAAATTATGAAACTTCCGGTATGGAAAAAGGGAATAAACCGAATGACAGGAGAGTTCCAGATCAAAATTTACACTAAGCTGTTAAATATAAATCTAAAAAATTATTATAAGTTTTTGTAAAAACGTTGCTTGTCTTATAATGAAAAAAAAAAAAATACGGCTGTACTGGTAATGAACGCGTCAACACATAAGAATGAAACGCCTTCCGCGTGAAGGCATGAAACTGAAACGTCCTATGATGGTGATCTTCTTCATCTTGGAATTTTCCGTTAGTTGATTAGTTACTAAGAGGAATTAATCAAAGAGCTTAGTACAAAACTGATGGAACTCTGCTACCATTCAGTTGATTTCCCCAGGCCTAGAAGTTAGTAGTTTGCATTCGTAACCAACCTCGGGCGTTTTAAACGTCGATAGGTCGGTAGATTCTAAATATTTTATTCCGATAATACTAATACGGGTTTTATATACACTGGCTTGTTCGACCATAAAAAGGCCTATCTTACCATCGTCTACTAAATACAGAAATGATGGCAAGATTAGACTTTTTATGGTCAATACTAAACTCGTACTAAACGAGCTGATGTAGACAAACCCCATACCCATTAGTAGTTACTTAGTGCGGGGTTAAAAGTTGAAATCGAAGGTTTTATTCTTGCAACACAGGACTAGTGCTTGTTAACTAAAAATTACTAAGAACATATACTAAAAAATTGTGTTGAACCCAAATGCAGATTCTGTGATAAATATCCAGAAACAACTATCTTGTATCAGGTTGCACGGTATTGGCCCCCACTGAATATTGTGGACCAATATCTGCACCGGAAAATGTGCCACTTTTACGGGAAGGAGACTATAAGAAACTGCTATGAGCATCACCCAGATCCGGTTACAGAGATATAGAACCTGCAACAGTTTACAATATACACAACCGAAACAATCAAAGCTAATCGCCGAGACATTGTGATCCAAGAGCACAAAAATAGAATGTGCTTTCTTATTGAAAAGAACTTATGGCAGTCTCTGTAGATTATAAATGTATCTTTGAAGATCTTCAATAATCTATCAAGATACAAGGATCTTGAAGTGGAAATTTCAAATATATGACACATAAGGATATCAATAATTCTAGTTGTAGTTGGAGCCCTCGGATTGATTAGAAAAGGTTTCGATAGAGTCACTGAAGAGATCTTTGGTAGCTCATACCTTAAAGAAATACAAAACATTTTACTCACAGGTACAACTCGCAAATTACGAAGAGCTTTATCTATGTAAAATCTGTGTGATCTTGGGTTTTATTTGTTGTTTACAAAAGTGAGTAGTCGAAAATGTCATGAAACTATTTCTGACTTTAGTCTCTTGTTGGGACCCGGAAGGAAATATGGATACAACAACAATGCAAGGGAATAATAATAATAATAATAATAATAATAAATCTACTCTACATGGATGATCTCAAAGTCTTTGCCAAAGACGACAATGAGTTGAGAGGCCTCCTCAATATTGTAAAATACTTCAGTGACGACATAGGTATGGACTTCGGATTAGATAAATGTGCAAAAGTAACATCCAAGAAAGGTAGAATTACAGAAACACCCTTAATAGATTTAGATTTTGTCACAAAGATTAGGAAACTGGAGCTAGATGAAGCTTATAAGTACCTAGGAATTAGCGAAGGAGATGGCATACAACACCCCCAAATGAAGGAAAAAATAAGAAAAGAGTACTACAAGCGTGTACGTCTGGTACTAAATACTGAGCTAAACTCAAAAAACAGAATATCGGCCATAAACACATTGGCTGTCCCTGTGGTTCAATACAGCTTTAATGTCCTTAACTGGACCATAGCTGAAATTAAGCGAATGGACGCCAAAACGAGAAAGCTTCTCACTTGCTATCGCATGCATCATACCAAATCTGATGCTGATCGTCTGTATGTGCCCAGATCCGAAGGAAGCAGAGGATTAGTTCAACTAGAATTGTCCTACAAAACTACAACAATTGGCCTCCAAAGATACTTGGAAACTACAGTAGACTGGACGATGGTATGCGTCAAGTAACATGAAAGTAGTAAGCGTCTTTACTCCGTAATAAAAGAAGCCAACAAATTCAAAATGGAGTTTCAAATGGGCGTAGAGATGCAACTACAGCACAATACACCGGCTGAAACTGCAAAATACTTTAAAAAAGACAGAAAAGACGAATACAACCGACCAGATACAGAAGCGATGGCAAGATAAACCGCTTCATGGCCAATACTTATTTCTTTCTTTCTTTCTTTCTTTCTTTCTTTCTTTCTTTCTTTCTTTCTTTCTTTCCTCCCTCCCTCCGTTCCTTCTTTCCTTCCTTATTTCGTTCGTTCCTTTCTTTCTTTCTTTCCTTCCTTCCTTGCTTATTTCTAGCTTCCTTCCTCCTTCCCTATCTTCTTCCTTCCTTTTTTCCGCCCTCCCTTCGTTCGTTCGTTCTTTCCCCCTCCTTTCCTTCCCCCCTCCCTCCTTCCCTTCCTTCCTTCGTAGTTTCCTTCCTTCCTTCCTCCCTCCCTCCTCTCTGTTCCTTCCTTCATTCCTTCCTTCCTTTCCATACTTCCTTCCTTTCCATCCTTCCTTCCTCCGTTTCTTTTTCTTTCTTTCTTTCCTTCCTTCCTCCCTTCCTTCCTTCCTCCCTTTCTTCCTTCCTTCCTTTCCACCATAGCTTCCTTCCTCTCTTTCTCCTTCTTTCTTTCTTTCTTTCTTTCCTTCCTCTCTTCCTCCCTCCCTCCCTCCTCCCTCCCTCCTTCTTCCTTCCTTCCTTCCTTCCTTCCTTCCTTCCTTCCTTCCTTCCTTTCAAATTAACAATCCTCCTTGGTTGTAAAGATTCCGTTCAGTCGTTTCCCGTTTCACTTCTCTCTATCAGTTTCCTGTTTATAGACAAAGCGACGACACAAAATGCCACTTGGACTTCATCGAAAGGTTCCTTCTGAGCAGAAGAGAAATACCAGCAATAGAGACTGACCGTTTGCTGGGGAGGGATGATTAGCTACGAGCAGAATTTATGATCGGAAAAAAATATAGCCCAACAAAGTTATGGAGGTAGAACGGGCGATTGAGTGAGAAATATATATATATATATATATATATATATATATATCAGATATGTGCATGACTTAACATTTACAGACCGAGAACATGAAGTTAGTTTTGTTTTGTTTCTGTAATAAAAGATGCTGGAAATATTAATTCACGCCGAATATGTTTTATGTCGGCATTTTTGAAATGAGGAAATATTACTCTTGAGCCTAGAATAAAATGGTTTTGGTTTTTGTTTTTTTGTTTTTTGTTTTTTTGTAAATTGTGTTGGGAAATTCGTTCAAAATTAATTTGTTTTCGAAAAAACTGAAGAAGAAGAAGTGCTTAGAATGACAGGAGAATAAGAGGACGATTTGGAATAAATTAAGGTTTTGGAAAATAAGGAGGAGTTGGAATAAACAAACAGGGGGGGAATTGAAAAAAAACCTGGTATAACAGTAGATAATCTGGATAAAGAGTTAAAAGAATCAGGCAGACCTGTCTGTTCCAGACACGAGGATAAATGTCTTGTTCTTTTGAACCAGCAGTTTCATAATCTCTCTCTCTCTCTCTCTCTCTCTCTCTTTCTCTTTTATATATATATATATATATATATATATATACTAGCAGCATGTCCCAGCGTTGCCCGTGCTTGAATCAAAAATCGTACGACTCATACGGCAATCGCTTGCCCTTCCTTGCCTTTAAAAGAGTGCCCTTTGCCGTGCTGATGTTGCTACATGCCTTACTTCTTGCCTATCTCACACTGCGAATTTTTTTCTAAGCTCTATACTAAACATTAAATCTGTTACGAAAAAAAGAATTAAACAAAATGAACACAAAACGATCAGCTTTAAAAAAGGACTCGTAACTGGAAAAACCGAATGAAAAAAGAATGTTAACAACAAATACTTCTTCATACCCAACCCAGTTCTGCGGAATCAGAATCAACGTTGAGTTTAAGCAAGCGAATGAGCCAATTGGAGTAAAGTGCCATGCAGATTTAAATTTTTCCCACTTGTAACGAATGCAGCTATCGATTCTTTTTGCATGCTAGCATGCTAGTTAACATTCGTGTCAGTCAGCTGTTGGCTCTCTCGCTGGCCAATAGAATCTTCCTGCCTATTCGTGGCAGCCAGCTATTGGCTCTGACTCTGGCCAGTACAAAATGGCCGCAAACTACATGAAAACTGCGTAGAAGCATGAAAAAATCGATTATTTCTACTATCGGTGGGAGTTGGGAAATGTAAAGTCGGTCTTGGCCTTTTCCGCTAACTTGGAGCATGTGCATGTAAATTTTGGTGCAAATCCGTCGAAAATTGCGGCCGTGCATTCGTCACACACACACACACACACACACACACACACACACATCCTGCTATTTATATATATATATATATATATATATATATATATATATATATATATGAGGTATTATAATTTATGAACCATAGAGAAAATACCATCAGAACAATTCCGATATAAAAAATGGGACACGATATTTACAGAAAGGACCTAAGGAGGCTACGTCCGGGTTCCTCTCTGCCCGAAGGCAGAGAGTTCGCCAACAGCCAAGATCTGAGTAACAGATCCCAGCTAGTATATTTACCTACCGCCCGACGCGATCAGATGTGGCACAGGTCTGAATTAAACGAGGGGGAATCGGAGCCGTATAAAACTGGGTCGGGTAGCTGTTTCCAGACACGAGACTCTGCTCTCCGAAGGCAGAGAGTCCGAAGGCAGAGAGTTTGACCAGCACAGGTGGAACATATCCCAGCTAGTGTATTTACTTATCTCCCCACCCAAACAGATGTGGCACAAGGCCGAATTTAATGTGGGGCATTCGAGCCCGTAGGCTGTGCTAAAAATTTCCGGATAACCCGTGTAAAACGGGGTCAGGTAGTTGTTTCCTGACACGGGATTCTGCCCTTTGGCATAGCCTCGTCTGGTGATCTCCTCTGCTCAGACGCAGAGAGTTTGACCAGCACAAGTGGAAAAGATCCCAACTAGTATATTTACTAGTCCCCCCCACCACCACCTACGCGATCAGATGTGGCACAAGGCCGGGTTTAATGTGGGGCATCCGAGCCCGTAGGCTTGACCAAAAAATCCTCGTAGACACCACATAAATGGGATCGGGTCGGTCTACCTCCCCGAACGAGACTCTGCCCTTCGGTATAGCCTCGTCCGGGTTTTTCTCTGTCCGAAGGCAGAGATTTCGAATGTACAGCTGAAACGATTTCAGCTAGGCTCTGTAGTCCGTTGATTTACAGATACTTACAGGTAGTTACTACCTATAGTGTAGTCACTAGTTTGGGTGAAAGGTATTTCCATTACATCAGATAGGAAAGAAAGAAAGAAAGAAAGAAGCCGGAAGAGAGTTCCACAAGCGAGAAGTGCGAGAGAAGAAACTACTAGTATAGAACTTACGGTTACATCTAGCCATTTCAACTGTAAAATGATGAGACCTTTCTGCCAATCTAGTACTGCGCTTAAATCTATAAAGTCTCGGTACCATAGAGGAAATATCACCAGTACAATTACGATATAAGAATAGAATAATTTATTTATAGAAGGGACCCAAGGAGGCTATGTTACGGTGGTGGGAAAGTGATTTCCTTAAATATGCAGGTACTTTCGTATTTTTGCATATTTAAGGAAGACATAATGGAGTTTATAATTTTAAAAAACAAGGATCATAACATTCAGCGAGTGATTTGTAGGTTAATGCATCTTTAAAATTTTTTTAGCGAAGGAATTTCGCCATTTTATATTAACTTTACTAATTTACTTTTTGTATGAATGACTTATTGTATATATATATATATATATCTATATATATATATATATATATATATATATATAATACGAATAGTAAGATTTCAGCGTTCAAAACATTAATTTAAAACAGGGTTGAATACAAAAAGTCGAGAAATAAATATTTATTTATTTATTATGCAGTGTTACATTTGAGCATGTAACATACGCACTACAAAACTGTACATCTTGTTTCAACGATAAAATAAAGTTTCATCAGGTGAGAAATCACGTTGCTATTTCCCTCCTGATGTAAAAAAAATTAACGTTGAAATTATATATATATATATATATATATATATATATATATATATATATATATATATATATATATATAGATTGAACAAAAAAAAATATAAAAAAATTAAAATCTTCAGACACACTGGGTTGTAGATTAATATTCTTTCGCTTTTTTTATTATTATTTCATTTAGATTCCTCGACTAGTTTCGGCCAAAATGGCCATCATCAGGAGAAGAAATATTTTTGCTTGCTGGTAGCAGTGAACTACAGAAATGAATCATACACAAACTGCATCTGGACAGCAATCATTCTTTATACAAGTTTCATTAAAGACGTACGAGCGTTTGTACGGATATTTTCTTTTCTGGATATAAAGTGTGTAAAAATTGTCCATTTGCATATCCTTGCGCTTTCGGCAATTCTTCTAGTCATTATCAAGGACTATTTTTTATTTTTCTTATCTTTTACTGAATGTATGGATTTTAGGATTTTTTTTTATCTTGAGTTATAGGAATGTTTTGCGTTCCAAACACGGTCAGCATACTGTGGCCGTGTTCATAGTTGATGTTATTGAGTGTGGACATTTTCTTTTTTATTATCAGGGCTTCGATTATTCTTAGTATTCTTTTACATGTGAATGAGGCTATTATACTAGTATTTTCTGCAAGTATGTCGCAGATGGAGCTTGGTATATTTCCGTGTGTCTTTAAATAACTCCTAATTGAACTATAGTTTGAGAGATGTAAGGTTAGCCTTCTAGATAGGCATATAGTAGTATGTACAATATAATTATCCATAAGCTTGCCCTGGAATGCAGTTTCTTAAGACAACTGTGAATTAATAAATAATATGGGTCCTCTGTAATTTAAATATATCGGATGTGTTGTTATTGCTGATGATAAGATTAGGTATTTTAATTTTTTATAGTAAATAATTAATTTAATTTTAATGTTCTGGTTGCATTTAAATTTTTCAATATCAAATTTGATTGACAACCAAGAAATGTTTGAGAGAAGAAACTATTAACATAAAACTTACGGTTGCATCATAATTTAACCGTAAAATGATGTCACCTTTCCGCTAATCTAGTCAGTCAGTAATGTGCCATGCTTTAGGCTTAGGCGATCATGTATCTTTCGATACATGACTGACGAGGCAGATTTTTTTTCTGTGGTAGTTTGTCAATTCTTTCTACTGTAGATTAGTTGCCATCCAAGGCTATAGAACCTGGTCTGTCCTGCTATTTATCCATATCTGATGGGGAGAGAAGAAGAGGATTCATACCTTTTTCCAAGGGTATTAGCACGTAAGGGAATGTAATGGATTCGACGGGAATTCGAACTCGGCTCTCCGATTCCTCTGTCCTATCCGCTGTCCATTATTCCTGATAATCTAGTACTACGCTTTAATCCATAAAGTCTAGGTACCATAGAGGAGATATCATCAGAACAATTACTATATAAGAATATAATATGTCATTTATAAAAAGGGCCCCAAGCGGCTACGTTACGACGGTGGGAAAGTGACTGAAGCCGACGTGCCAGGTTATGACCAATAACATTGCAGATTCTTCTTTGGATTTTATGCATAGAGGAAAGAACATCACCTTTTTTTTTATTGTAATTAACCGACAAGTTAAGGTTTTTTATGATATCTTTCCTGAATAATCTGGTTCAAATTTATGGAGAAGCCGTCACGAGTTCAAAACGTTTCAATCTGAGTTCTTGTGACCATCACTTGTCGTAATCAGGAACATCAATGTTATCATTTACAAAAGAAAATGTATATATTATAGCTTCATTCTGACACGGTTTTGAAAAGGCTGTATTTCTAATTCGAATGTACGTGCTTAAAACGATATATAAGGGATATAGACTTCAAAGCCGTCTCGCCGTGGGGTCAGAGTTAGGGATGCTTGTCTAATTAATCATTATAAGTGAACTGGAGCCCCCACCCCTGTAAGGCCCTTAAGCAAAATTCAGCATTAAAAGACACAGCAAGATCTGTTATGTTGTAAAACTAACCAAACGTTTCGGTATTTTAAAGTATTACAAAAAAAAAAAAAAGAAAGAAAAAGAAAAACAACAAAAAATATCTTATCCATTAGGGAAAATATTTTGACAGCCCTGAGGAAAAAGATTTAAAAGAAGATCGTTTAATTTTTTTTTCATTTTAAAAACATCATGCGTAAATTGGAATTTAAATATCCAAAAATTAAACATTCATCTTATACAAGTAAGTAAAATTTTGGCGGAGATAGCTGCTCCAGTTACTGCTACCCAGTAATGACTTATTTAAGACGTTGTATACTGAGAAAGACAATATTATCTCATCTGCCTTTGTTCATTTTGAACAGCAGAAGTATATCGAAGGTTGTTTTGGCGCCTTTTATAGGTATTACGCGGGAAATTATGTTCGTGCCGCCGAAAATGGCGGGAAAGTTAAGGGATACTTCTTGGACATATTTTGCGAATGGACCCAAAATGCCCAGCTAACAAAACCATGGAGTTTTACCTTGACTGTCATTCACTGTAACCCTTTGCGTGCTAGTGGCACTCCTGCCTTGCTTGGGGTGATTTGCTTAAAAACATCCCTCTTCTACCTGGGAAGAGCTTGCTGAGGGTCGTGCCGTCTAGCGCTCCCTTGTAAGGTCCAGAGAAAAGAATCAGGTGGAAAGAACAGAGACGCCAGAAAAATAGAGATCGTGAGGGCTCCGCTTCCCAGTATAGTTCAGCCCCCAGCATCCCACGTCACAACTGCAAATGACTTTTCAGGGCGAAGATCAAAATGCCCAGCTAACAAAGCTTTTACTTTGAAAAGACTGACTTCAAAAAGTTCAGAGGTCATCCAAGAACCACTATAGTCACAACGCTGAACCAAGTCAGTCAAAGAACAAGGCAGAAAGATCCCACTTTTCTTTTGGAGACGTTTACGATCAAGGAAGATCTGCTACAAAGCACCAAACCCACAGAGGACAGAGAAGGCCGGCAAAATATTGTCGAATTACTATAGAATGTCATTGAAGATTAGATAATATTTTAATTCATGGCCTCAACTTGAAACAGTTTTGATGATGATGATGATGATGATGGAAGTAAAATTTCAAACTGTTTCTTTTCTAAGTAAAACTACCCGCTTTGTTTCCATCTTTCTTAAAACTTTCTCGTTTCAATTTCCGTCAGTGGCATTCTCAACATCCTTCTGTAGAACCACATCTCTGTTACCTCATTATCTCCTCTTCATCTGCGCGAAAATTGTTCCTTAACATAAAATGCTGTTGTGTACCGTACATAAAAACGAGTAATAAACAACCGCGCTTAAGAGAAAAGAAATTACTAAAGGCGACGGGTTCTCTTCGCAAAAAGCTATCGGATAATAACGGTTTTCGCTATAAACAGGATGGAAAGAGGGAATCATAAAATAAATATATAAAACCCTTATTGCTAGAGAGTTTCAACGATAATGGCATCGCCGCCTAATCATCTAATATTTTTAACTTACCCGCCATTTTCTACGGCACGAACATAATTTCGCGCGTAAAACCTATAAAAGGCGCCAAAACAACTTTCAATATACTTCTGCTTTTATCATTATCTTGAAATTTAAAACATCATCATGCGTATGCTAGAACGCTCATTCACGAATATCTATTCATCTATCTATCTATCTATCTATCTATCTATCGCATATTGATTTTATCTCATACTGATTCTATCTATCTATCTATCTATCTATCTGATCCAGTTTCTTTCTTTCTTTCTTTCTTTCTTTCTCAATCTTTTCATCTATCTATCTATCTATCTATCTATCTATCTATCTATCTATCTATCTATCTGATCCAGTTTCTTTTTTACTTTCTTTCTCAATCTTTTCATGTATCTATCTATCTATCTATCTATCTATCTATCTATCTATCTATCTATCTATCTCATACAGATTTTATCTATCTCATACCAATCCTATCTATGTATATCTCATTATGTATATATTATATAATGATACAAATAAAAGACACTATAAGAAGAGTTCTTGATGTAAAATATAAAATATATAAAAGAGCCAATATATATATATATATATATATATATATATATATATATATATATATATATACATACATATATATATATATATATATGTATATATATATGTATATATATATATATATATATATATATTTATATAAAATATATATATATATATATAAACAAATATATATATATATATATATATATATATATATAAACTATATATATATATAATGGTTTATTATTATAAATGGAATCTACGCGAGACGACACTACTATTTACTTCTGCCTTGATAGTAAATCTGGTATCGTTGACAAAAGTAATTTGGCCGCCGTTTTTGAAAAGGACCTCCACCCTGTGGTTGACAGAGACAGGAAATGGCTTGTAAATTTCAATGCCTCCAAAACGAAACTGCTCTCATTTACCCGCCGCAGGTAACCCTCCTTGCTTCCCATCAAAATGGCTGATGACCGACTCCACGACAGCGCCTCGTTGCGCCTACTTGGTCTCACGTTGCACGCTGATACGAGGTGGAGTAAATACATTGAATTATATAGGGTCTGGTGCCCCCGCTGTAAGTCTCGAAGTCCTCGACAATATTCAGAGATGGATGGCCAATGTGATAGGTCCTGATCTTGCAGCCAGTCTACAGTCGCTTTTTCACAGACCAGCTGTGTCTTCCCTCTGTCTCTTCTATAAGTATTTTCACGGCAACTGTTTCGACGAGTTACTTCCCCTGGTTTCCCGGAGTGTATGAATTTCAACGATCTAGGTTGATATCATGCCCCACCCTTTCACTGTCGAAACGGTTAAATGTAACCATCTCTTCTACTCAAACAGCTTCTTCTCTTGCACTTCCCGTCTGTGGAATTCTCTTCCTCTTACTTGCTTCCTTGATAACTATAATCTTCAAATAAGTGTAATGTCAATCGACATCTTCTGATGTTTTGATCTTGTTATTCGTCCTTATCTTTATCCTCACTCCAAACAAGTCTTATTTTCTTTTTAAGCGTTTCACCCCAAGCAAGGTGGAAAGCCACTAGGACGCAAGGAGTCACAGAAAATTTGGAGCAAGATCAGATAGGAGTGATAGAAGAAAGGAAGAGGAGAAGAGTAGTAGATAAGTCAAGGCAACTGGAGATACAGAGGCCAGTGAGAGAGAGAGAGAGAGAGAGAGAGAGAGAGATTGGACCGGAAACCCCTTCCTAAACAAGAAACAAGGCGTAAGCCTCTACTCATGTCCAAGAGAAGGGGGAGGAGTGTTTACCAGGCGGTAGGAAAGCCTACCTACCATCTGTAACCCCTTCTGTGCTAGTAACACTCCCACCTTACTTGGGATGAAATGCTTTAAAAAATATCGAAACCCTTATTTTTTTAGCAAAGTACTAGCGGCTCAAATCAACTCTTAATTGGAATAGGGCCTCACTTTGCAAGGTCTTCCGCCTTAGAAACAATATGGCTTTCGTCTATTTCGGTCATGCATGAGCAAACTTTTACAAGCACTGGGTCGTGTTTTCTATGGCTTATCGCAAGGCGGCCGCAGTTCTAAAAGGATAATTTTTCGTAGTAGGCACCTCAGCTATTTTAACTAAAACCATATGCGTAAGAGAAAGGATTCACGTGGTTCATATCTGTTATATTCTGTGCTAAGGGAATAAATACTTAACACCAGGTGGATAATAGAAGAAAGTTTTATTGTACACAACAAGTACAATATGAAATACGGTACAATTATACACACTAGTAGTGATTGTCACTAATTGGAAGGTCGGACGTGCTTTCGTCGTCTTGCTCTCAATCTTCCTGCAGTCTTTCGTAGACAGTTGACTTCATAGCTACTTACTACCTATAGTGTAATCATTCATGGGGGTGCCGGGTTATTCCATTACATCAATATCTAATATATTCAAATGAAATTAAAAAATATAACTATACCTTCTCCACAGCAAAAAATGTTACGAATGTTTCTTGTTTCAAAAGCAAAATAAGCTTACACGTATGATCTTCCTTAGTTAAAAGGCTCAATGCTTTTAAATGACGAAAAAGTTATTGTCACAGAAAGTTTACAAAACATTGTATTTAATCATATGCATATGGTTATATGTCTATATGCGTGAAAGACGCGGAGAGATTATAGCCGGTATGCTAAATAGCTTGATGCCTTCCATATTATTAAAAGCCTAAGGACCTTGCTCCGTGTCAAGCGTCCTGGACACTGAAGTGCTCCAACGTGTTGGGATGGAGATCATCCGTGACATCCTACTGCACTATCAGCACCGGTGGGCTGGCCATTTCCACCGTATAGACGACTGTTACCTCCCAAAGAGATTGCTTTATGGCAAGTTATCCACAGGCAAGTGCTCACTCGACAGACCAAATACACACTGAAGGAGTCTCTCAAGCATTATGGCATTCAGGATGGCTGCTGCCCAAATCCACAAGGTTTCGCCTGCTTGGTCTCGCGCTGTCCACTCATCTGAAGAGGAACAATTACATTTAATCTATAGCCACAAGAAAAGTTGCTTCTCTGTGTCACGCCAGAAGGTTTTTCTCGCCTAAGTCCATTCTCCAAATCTCTAAATCAACCATTCGACCTTACATGGAATACTGCTGCTATATATGGTCTGGTACCACCGCTGTTCATCTCAAGGTCCTCGACAAAATCCAGAGACGGATATGAAACGTGGTTGGTCTTGATCTGGCATCTCGTCTACTGTCACTATCTCAGAGACGTGCTGTGTCTTCCCTCTCTCTTTTCTACAAGTATATTCATGGCAACTGCTCCGACGGGCTACTTTCACTGGATTCCACACTGCATGAATTTAAGCATGCTACTAATTTTCCCCACACTTTCACTGTCTAAACGGCTAAATGTAACCATCTCTTCTACTCCAGCAGCTTCTTATTTTGCACATCCCATCAGTGGAACTTCCTTCCTATCACTTGCTTCCCTGATAGCTATAATCTTCAAATATTCAAATGTAATATCAATCGACATCTTCTGATGTCTTGACCTTCATCCCTGTCCTTCTCTTTAGCCTTTTTCCAAACGCTGCTCTTTACCCCTGCGTGCTAGTGGCACTCCTGCCTTGCTTGGGGTGATTTGCTTAAAAAAATCCCCCTTCCACCTGGGAAGAGCTTGCTGAGGGTCGTGCCGTTTAGCGCTCCATTGTAACGTCCAGATTGTCTGATTTTGAAGAGAAAAGAATCAGGTACAAAGAACAGAGACGCCAGAAAAGTAAAGATCGTGAGGGCTCCGCTTCTTAGTATTAGTTCAGCCCCCAGGTTCCCCCACGTCACAACTGCAAATGACTTTTCAGGGCGAAGATCGGACTCATTAATCATCCCCGCACCCAAATAGAACCCCGCCTCAATGATTCGAAGTCAAGACCATCTCTGCATGCGGAAAACTAACATTTGGCTCTTTTAAGAGACGTTATTTTTCTTATTAAATTCAGAAAGACCAAACGGGCTGCATGTGGCTCGCGGGTCGCCTTCATCCACTGTGCCATTTTCCTCAAGGACACATGGCACAGTGGATAAAGGCGTTGGTTAGATCCAGTGACAGGACCCAAAGACGTGTGAGTTCAATACCCGGTTAAGGAAGTAGAGAACTTGGAGGAGAGAATTAACAGGAGATAATTGAGAACTGACATCCATTAGACATGGCACGTGGAACTAGAACAGTCTACCCCAGTGAGCGAAATAAAGGGTTCAGTTCGGCCGAAACGTTGTGATAAATATGGCGACAAAGATGAGGACAATAGTCCGAATAATGTAAATAATGTACATAATACCTCATCTCAGAAATATAGACAGAGACAAAATTTATTAAGAGCTCAAAATGGCAGGAAATTGTGGAGAGCCATAATCACCAATGTGCTGAAAGGACTCAGCACATAGAAGAAGAACTAAAAATGACTTGTATCCGGCATTAGAAAGTAACACATCGAGTTCAAGAAAGACGACGAGCTAGTGTAAATAAATTGCGGATGTGGGGCCACGAGGGATAAGAAGATGTGGAGAGCCGTGAGGGCTACCTCATCCTGAATAGAAATGTCACAAGATATAGAGGAAGAAGATGAAACCGCGTAAACGGAATTTTTCAGATTTGTTATTTACCGTATATACTCGCTTATCATGCGACCTTTTGAAAACCTTATTTTGAAGCTAATTTTAAGAGGGTCGCATCATACATGAGATGTAAAATTAGTGTGTGCACTGCTGGCCCTTGCTACGCCGTTGACCAAACTATATATCCATTTACTGTAGTCAAAATGTACAGCTGTATTTAAAATAAACATGATTTTGATAAAAACTAATGTTTTACTTAACTGTATCGAATAACAAAGCAAGTAATATTCACATATTAGTATCGTATTATAAAATACAAACATAGCGAATATCTTTTTCATTGTTTACGTTTATAAGATATTTAGCTGTTTCTCGTTTAGTTGTTTATGGCTGTACTCGTTTACATTTTATTTTATACGTTTATGAGTATAGCGTTACTAATGATACTTTTATCAATTTGGCTACAGTAAATGGATATATAGTTTGATCAAAGGCGTAACTAGGGCCAGCAGTATATACGCTAATTTTACATCTCATGTACGATGCGACCCTCTTACTTTAACTTCAAAATTGAATCTAAAAAGTTTTGCAATATATATATATTTGTATATATTAATATATGCTAATGTTTATTTAACAGTAAGTCCGATCGATCCGACAAAATAGAAATGGCGGCAGCCCTCAAAAATGGTTACCAACCAGTTGTCAACTTGAGCAAGAAATGCTTGGTAAGTTTTAACGCCCCTAAAACGAAACGATGTTTTAATCGTTAAATAGAGAACAGTATTTTCGCATTTCATCAGTATGGGTGCGCCTTATTGGTCTCAGGTTTTTCGCTCACATGAAGTGGAAAGATTATATTGAATCAACTGCTAGGTCTGTTGTTAGAAAAGTTGGTTCCCTGTGTCGTGCCAGGCAGTTTTTTTCTCGCCAGAATTCCTCTTGCACGTTTATAAATCTACCATTGGCATTGAATATTGCTGCCTTATCTGATCTAGAGTTCCTGTAGTATATCTTGAGATACTTGACATAATCCAAAAAAATATCTGTAATGATATCGGTCAGAAACTGGCATCTCGGATTCGAACAGACAGCGATAGATAGATAGATAGATAGATAGATAGATAGATAGATAGATAGAATAGATATGAACAGGCCGAGATAGATAGATAGATATGAACCTTTTTGATATATATATATATATATATATATATATATATATATATATATATATAGATAGATAGATATCCTTATATGAACAACCTTAGAGATAGATAGATAGATGATAGATAGATAGATAGATAGATAGATAGATATGAACAGGCCGAGATAGATAGATAGATAGATAGATAGATAGATATGAACAGGCCGAGAGAGATAGATGATGAAGAACAATAAAAAAGGACCAAAGATAGATGAATAGATAGATAGAGATAGATAGAATATGTACAATCTTATATATATATATATATATATATATATATATATATATATATATATATAGATAGAGACAAGAGAGAGAGAGATAGGGGATAGATAGATAAAGATAGATAGATAGAATGATAGATAGATATGAATAGGCCGATATATATATATATATATATATATATATATATAGACAGATAGATAGCTCAAGATAGATATGAACAAATTTCTTTAGATATATATATATATATATATATATAGAGAGAGAGAGGGGGATAGATAGATAGATAGATAGATAGATAGATAGATCAGAATAAATTTAGATATATGCAAAAGAGACATAGATAAATTTGAACAGATAGATAGATAGATAGAATGTAACAGACTCAGATAGATAAATAGATAGATAGATAGATAGATAGATAGATAAAGATAGATAGATAGATAGATATGAACAGGCCGATATATATATATATATATATATATATAGATAGAGAGAGAGAGAGAGAGATAAGATAGATAGATAGACAGATAGATAGATAGATAGAATAGGGATATTTAGATAGATCAGGAATAAATTTAGATATATATCAAGAGACATAGATAAATATGAACAGATAGATAGATAGATAGATATGAATAGGCCGATATATATATATATATATATATATATATATAGATAGATAGATAGATAGATAGATAGATAGATAGATGAAGATGAACAGGCTAATGATGATAGATAGATAGATAGATAGATGAATATGAACAGGCCGAGATAGATCCGAATAAATTTAGAATATATCAAAGAGTCATAGATAGATAGATAGATAGATAGATAGATAGAATGCAACAGACTCAGATAGATAGATAGATAGATAGATAGATAGATAGATAGATAGATAGATAGATAGATAGATAGATATGAACAGGCCGAGATAGATAGATCCGAATAAATTTAGATATATATCAAGAGAGTCATAGATAGATAGATAGATAGATAGAATGCAACAGACTCAGATAGATAGATAGATAGATAGATAGATAGATAGATATGAACAGGGATACGTAAAAAGATAGAGAGAAACATAGATAGATAGATAGATCTATTGAAGGATACTGATCCCCCTCCCCCCCAAAAAAAAACAAAAAAAACAGAAGGCGCAAATTCTGGCTTTTTATTGTTTATTGCCATTTCCAATGAACTAACGTCAAAAATCGAAAAGCTTTCTTTTTTTTCTCTCTCTCCTCCTTAACTTGTCACAAAATTTAATTTTCTTTGCCATTTCATCAAGAATTCCAAACTTTGCGTTAAGCACCCGCAGACCAAAGCTAAACGGTTCCATCTTTCATCAACTTACTCTCCTTTGCCAATCAGTCGCAGTCTTCTCCCTTTCAGACAACTTAATTTTTTCTCCTTCTTCTTCTTCTTCTTCAAAATAAACGACTCAAGGCGGTAGAAATTGTTTCGCCCGGAGATTCATGAAGCTTATGTTTGTTTGAAAATGACAATCGTGGGAGAAAAGAGAGACATAAGCTATCGGTTTGGAAGGTGATTTGCGCCGATGCCGGTGTGTTTCGATGGAAGGTCATGTGCATGCCAACCCGGAACCTGCTCTTGGCATTTACTGGGGAGGGGATGACACTGACATTTAAAACCGTATCAGACGATAAGCAGTGACGACTGACGAAGGCAGAGAATAACAAACCTAGGGAGGAACAGATGTGGCGGATTTTGATTTTGATTTTTTTTTTTTTTAAATGAAGCTTTTTAAAAGAAATTCCGAAAAAAAGAAAATCAGGGTTTTATAGAAAGAATTGTATTCAGATGAAAAGCGGGCAAGAAATTAATAAAAGGATTTTAATCATTGTTAACTGTTAAAATCAAGGAAACATTCCACATATACAAGCGCAAACACATAACTATATATTCATATCTGTTTATTTCTTTCTATCTATCTATCTATCTATCGAGAGTTTGTTATTTATCTATCTATCTATCTATCTAGAGTTTATTCTCTATCTATCTATCTAAAATATATATATATATATATATATATATATATATATATATATATATCACAGATTTTATTTCTGTTGGTCTATCAACCTCTCCCTCTCTCTCCATTTGTCTCTCTGTCAGTCTATTCATATCTATCTATCTAGCTAGCTAGCTACTCAGTCTATTCATATCTGCTAACTAGACAGTTAATTAGCTCACTCTTTTCATATACCTAGCTAGCTCACTCTGTTCCTATCTATCTATCTATCTATTTATCTATCTATCTATCTATCTATCTATCTATCTATCTCAGTCTATTTATATCTGCTAGCTAGACAGATAATTAGATCACTCTGTTCATATAGACAGCTAGCTTATTCTGTTCAAATCTATCTATCTATCTATCTATCTATCTATCTATCTATCTATCTATCTATCACTGCCTTTATTTCTATTTGTCCCTCATTCTCTCTCTCACACTCTCTTTTTCAGATCTCTTTGTTTCTCTATCTCTGTCTATTAAAATCTATCTATATATCTATCACAGACTTTATTTCCATTTGTCTTTTATTCTCACTCCTCTCTTTTTCCAGATTTCTCTCTCTCTCTCTCTCTCTCTGTCAGTCTATTCATTATCTATCTATCTATCTATCTATCTATCTATCTATCTATCTGAGCCTGTTCATATCTATCTATCTATCTATCTATCTATCTATCTATCTATCTATCTATCTATGACTGCCTTTATTTCCATTTGTCTCTCATTCTCTGTCTTCTCTCTTTCCAGATTTCTCTCTCTCTCTCTCTCTCTCTGTCAGTCTATTCATTATCTATCTATCTATCTATCTATCTATCTATCTATCTATCTATCTATCTGAGCCTGTTCATATCTATCTATCTATCTATCTATCTATCT